ACATGTTCGTTTGGAATAAGCTTTTTTATAATAAAATATATCATTTATTTTAATTTTACATTTTTTTAAATTTTTCATAACTAGACGTTTCATCAATTTTTTATTTCACATTCATTTATTTTTTCGTGCAATTTTGTGTTTCTGTGTTGTTTTTCAAAATTTATTTGTATGCACTGAAGATGGGTCAAATCAGGACCCGAAACGTATGTTCCCTTAATAAAAACATTTTTCAATAAAACTGTTTTTTAATTATTGGATGGATGCCCAAGAAACAATTTTTTCATATTATTTCACCATCTGAAGAAAAACCTTTCGCTTTATATATATATATATATATATATATATATATATATATATATATAAATAAAAACAAATACTTATATGTTGTTGTTTTTCTTGTAAATAGTTTTAAAATTAAAATATAAGCAAAATTATGTAATATTTTCTAGTATGTTTTATAACTGTACAGATTTTCAAGTAATTCAACGACTTACTGACTTTGTTGAGGATTTCAATATTAATTCAACAAAAATGTAATAATGTTTGCATATTATCTAGATTAGTAAATTATGTTGTAATAAAATAATAAGATGCTGCCAGCATATTTTATTTAGTAAATTTTTAATTATAATTAAAAATAGCTTTAAAATATAACATTGACATTGTTATTTAAAAAAATCTTTTATTTTAAATGTAGAAATTTATTATGTTTTCAGTCTCGTGCCACCACCAGAACTAAGGTAATATTTAACTGTTACTTTAACTATGCTCAAGTTACTGATAAAAAGTAAAATTTAAGCTAATATAGTTAAAGAATAGTATAAAAGTCCAAGTGTAAGTGTGCTTAAGTATGTTGGAATGAAAAATTAAATTTTTTTTTTGAAAATCAGAAAATGTTTTTTTTGAAATATATTGAATATTTTTGAAGTAAAACTTTTTTAGGCGCGACATGGGTGTAAAAATTTCTTTAGGCGCGACATGGGTGTAAATCCGTACAAATGCAACGAAAACGCCAACGTGAAGTTGAAGACTACGACGCTAGTAAGCGCAGCTATCGCAATTATTCGATCTAGTCTGCGAGCAAAACAAAAAATACATCAAATGTCAAATCATATGTCAAAAACAAAACAAAATGTGTCGACTTTCACTTGAGTTTTATATTTAGCTCGTACTCTCTAAACATTTTTTGAAGTAAAACTTCTTTAGGCGCGACATGGGTTAGCAGTATAATTCGTGAGTTAATAAAAATGTCAGGATCGGAAGAATATTTTATCCCGTCCCCCAAAAATAATTGTAGTGCAAATGATCGCAAATGAATCATGAAACTAAGGAAAAATGATAGCTTTGATGAAATAATAGCTTTGGCTATGTATGTTTTGTGTGTGATCAACTTTGGCTTCAAAGTGACTTAGAAATATCAAATGATGCTCAAAAACAAATTCTTAATAATGTTTTTTGAATATTGATTTAAATAATCAGGTTGGATGTCAAACTTGTCGAACGATATTAAATTAGGGTAAAATTCCCACTTTGTGTAAGTTTAACGGGTTTGTATTTCCACCTATACCAAATTATCTACCTAAACTAGATACTGTATCTGAAAGGTTAATTTCACCTAGGTTGTGTTTCATGCAAATCAAACGATTGCGACATGCAAATGGACAATTTGGAATGTTTGGCCAAATTATAAATGTGCCTGTTGACATTAATAATATGGTTAATTTATTACCTCGTAATATTGATGATGATCATTGCATTAACGTTCACATAAAAAAGCAAATTATTCATAGATCAAGCTATGTGCAGGGCTTGATAAATAAAACAACAATAAAAGTATGGCTTTAATTAGATAGGCAAGACGGATATTACAGCTGTTCAAGGAATGAGATTATATCGTCAGCGAAAAAGTAAAAAAATACAAACAGTAAATGAATGTATGTTAATTTTAATTACATGAAGTTCTTCAAACACAATTGTTACAGGATGAGTTTATTTGCAAAAACAATATTTGTTTTGGCGTTGTTTAACATAATCCACTGTGTGAATGAATATTATAGAATTTATTAATCAGCAATTACTTTAATACGATCATGTCATATTTCAAGTACGACTTTGATTACATTATTGTTTGTAAATATTATACATATTTTTAATGTAATCATAAATATATACACCTAAGTCTGTTTTTACACGGAGATTGGTTCCAGAAGAAACCGTGTAAAAAAAGACATTGATCTTATACAAAAATGGGTGATTTGTCCTACTCTCTAGAACCTATTAAAATTAGTGAAAAACAAGAATTTTCAAGAACAAGAATTCATGTTTATTTTAATAATAATTCCCCTAAATTAGTGCTATTCACATTTGCTGTGACCAGTAAAAATTGTTTCTACGCACTAAAGGGGAATTCACTTAAATCTTTAAGCTAGTGTTTGCAAACTATCGATACTATCGATGGTTTCAGACTTTTTTCTTTCATAAATACTTTTTTGTGATATGA